GTGTGTGTGTGTGTGTGTGTGTGTGTGTATCTGTGTGTGTTTGTGTGTCTGTCTGTATGTGTGTGTATATGTGTGTGTATACACATGCACATATCTATATATACACACATATATACATCCATACACACACATAAACATATGTATTAATCCACTTGCACTGTTTTATGTTTACATGTTTGATGACAAACGGCTTTATGTTTATAAGTGACAGTTTTCCTGCTAAGTACCTGCATGTCATAAATATTTGAATTAAAATTACCATATTGAAATCAAATCTGATGTTTTTTTTATTTTTATTTGGTGTGTATTGGAAGAGGGGTAATCTTATACGATGAGTATATCCCAAAGTCTATATTTTAACTGGAAAAGTTGGGGGTCATCTTATACGCCCAGTCATCTTATATGCTGGAAAATACAGTAAGATTAAAACCCATGCCTTCAATTACATATGGCACAAACCCAGGAAAATAGAACACAGCGGGATCTCTGTAGCACCTTGGCTTCAGTTAATGTGTGGTGTATAATCAGAGAGGGGACAAAATGGACCAGTTGCCCAGTTTAGCTCATTGCATGATTCCTACATGCCTCCTGCTTCCTTTCACTTTACACTGAGCTCCTTTTACCCCATCCAGTCACAGTGCCTCCATCTTCATATGATTAATGGCCAGTACCTTATTATACATGGATACCACACAAAACACATATATACTATACTCAGTGTCATGCAAGCCAGCTGCATCATTTATCATACCACCAGTAGTGACCAAGGCATTTATGAACCTGACCTTCTATCCACTAGAGCACAAATGACCAAAGCATGGATAAGCCTTGGGTGGGGTTAAATGTAGTAGCAGCCAACCTGCTGGGAATCTAACCAGAACTAAACAGTTATGAGCTTTGTGGAATCTTTTCTTTCTATATAACTTTCTTTAGATTTGTCCTTCAAAGGACAGGCTTACTTTTATACTGATGCCTTTTTCTTTTTCTTTTTCTTTTTGTGAATTGTATTAAGGTGGCCCCTAATGGACTTTAAGTAAAGCAAACTGAGAAGATCGGCCACGTAAATATCACAGAAACCCTAATAATTAAAGTACACATTAGGACAGAACTGTGTTGAGTCATCCTACTACAAAAAGCAAGAGGTCACAGAACAAGCTGGTATTCTTTAAAGCCCAAAAGTAAATAAAAAGCATATCAACAAAAAAAATTCTGCTGTCATAAGTGTGTGCTCTTAATTGCACTATATTCTATCACCATGTGTTTAGTTTATGATTGCCTTATTGGAATACTGGCACCCAACAGTCTATGTATGTAGGCTTCAGTTGTGCTTTTTCATATGCAGAGTGAACTCCATCACCAGATATTACTCACTGAGTGGCAGGATGAGCCATCCCTCTCAGCATTTCTGCTCTGTGGACGTTCACTTTTCTCTTAGCTTAATCAAGATACAACTGGCTCAACTGACAAAGCATCTGACAGTGAAACTCCTTTTTTTAAATAAAGGCTTTACATGCCTACCCAGCCTTTGTCCTCTCTCTAGCTGGAACTTGGACAGCACAGTTTTGGGAAGATAGTGAAGGAAAGCTGCAGAAACACAAACTTTCCTACTATATGGAACTTTAATTGTATTGCTCCTTTTGAGACAGTCCAAATGAAATTCCTAAGAACAATTCTAGGTATCCTAAATTGTGTCCCTAATGTCACCCTTCATTTAGAAGTAGGTTTGTTGTCTGTTGAGGCCCGTATATGGATACACAAATTTAATCAATGGCTTAAAATGCTTTTTGTCCCAGTTGGGTTGGTGCTATTAATC